TTTGTGTTTATTGTGCATGCATGTTCTTGATTTTTGTCTATTTCAGTCCAAAAATAAAAAAATGTTTCAATTTGGTTGATTCCTTTTTTAGTTTCCCTATTAAGATTTAAACATAAAGATAATAAATAAGTTGAATTAAAACTTCCAATGTTAAAGTATGCAACAGTGTTTAAACGGAGGATTGTGAGGTGCGCATATACCTTTCCTCACTCCTAACTGAACCTCCGAACCTCGATCCCTGTGCAGACTCGTTTTAAGTGATTTGTCCCACCTTATAATTTGGACGAGTGGCGACTCATCTTTTCTTTTATATTTTTCACTTTCACACTTAATAATGATAAATAATTTTTCATTTGTTTTGAAATCTAAAGTGGTCGTCAACAACAGGCTGCTGAAAGAATTCTCAGGTATTTACGTGGAACTACAAATTTTGGACTATTCTATAAGAAAGGTGATTAGACAGATCTCGCAAATTTTACAGACAGTGATTATGCTAGAGATTTGGATGATAGAAAAAGCACTTCTGGGTATGTTTTTATGTTGGATATGGTGCAGTTTCATGGTCTTCAAAGAAGCAGCCCATTGTGACTTTGTCCACAACAGAAGTAGAGTATGTGGTAACGACTTCTTATGCTTGTCAAGCTATTTGGTTGAGAAGAGTTTTGGAAGAACTTGAGCTAAATCAACATGAGGCCACTTCAATTTATTGTGATAACAGTTCAGCTATCAAGCTTTCAAAAAATCCAGTTCTACATGGGAGAAGCAAGCATATACATGTGAGGTATCATTTCTTGCGTAACTTGGTAGAAGATGGAACAATTGAGTTGACTTATTGCAAAACAGAAGATCAAGTGGTTGATATATTCACAAAACCCCTCAAAGTAGTAGCTTTTTCAAGATTGAGAGAGTTACTTGGTGTTTGCAACATGCAAAATTCAGTTTGAGGGAGGGTTTGCAGATTCCAAATTGTAGACATAGTGTTTTTTCAGATTTCTTTAAACTGAAGTTTGAAGACTTTCAGTTTAAGGGAGGGATTGTTGGAATGTAGATCTTGTTTTTTCGCTATTATCTATTTTCTAGCCATTATTTCTATAATTTAGGAAGTTTGAGTTGTTTAGGTTGTTATCATTTAAATTATATTAGATAAGATTAGTTAGTTATCTTTTCAGATAAAGTTATCTTGTAAATCCTATTTAAAGGCTAATTTATTTTCAATTTAATGAGATTTGGATTTTTATTCCATCTTCTTCTTCTCGGGAATCCTTGATTTTTAACAGTGCCTTGAACCATGCAAGGGCAGCGGCAACACCAAACAACCTTGTGGTGGTTATGAGACCAGAAAATGCGCATGGTGACTACATGGTATAGTAAATACCTTTCTTTGATGCATTGAGTTTTACTCAGCATAATTGTCTTGATCCTAACGTTTTCGGGCTGTACTGTGCAGTCAGCCCAATTGTCCAAAAATTATTGTGCTAAGCATCTCCTCTCAAGCAGCCAATTTGTTATTCTCCAAGTGAAAGAGAAAATGTGGCGAGTTATAATTGATGTTCATGGGTATTATTGGAGCATTTCTCAAGGTTGGAAAGATTTTGCAGTCAGTAATTGCCTAGAGGAGTTTGATGTTTGTGTGTTCAACGCGGCAGGTCGACATGAGGATGGCACTTTGATCTTTGATGTTACAATCTTTCGTGTTGTTCAGGAGGCGATTCCACTATCATGTGTTTCACATGAGTGTGGCTACATGGGAAGCAAGTGCTGCAAGAGAGAGGCTCTCTTAGTGCTTCATGCCTTAACACGTAGCATATATCATCATTTGTTTTGAATTTAAATTTTGTTTGAAATCGTTGTGAAGTATTATTGTTATAATTCTTTTAGTATTCTATTATAAGAAAAAATACTATCAAAAAATAATCCCAAATGCAACCTTAAATAAAGAACTAAACGAATTTTGCCATTTTTGCTTTATTGCTCTGGAAAACTTATATTATTGGTTTATTTATACTTATGTACCCTTTTCATATGGCAAAATGTAAATTTATTTTTTTAATTAATTTTTTATACTTTTATTAATTTTTATTAATATTTATATATTTTTGCAATAGTAAAAGGCTAAAAAACCTAATATTATACTATAATGCAATACAAAATTAACAAACGAAACCTATGATCAATGGACCATAACGTTAGTATCAACATCAAGTAACTAACATCATGATTAATCATGTTAGTATTATGAGTTCAAAATAAACAACAGTTCTACTTGTTGATGGATAGACT